AGTAAAAAAGTGCCGAATTTTTTAGCCTATGAAGAGCTCTGAGAAATTCTCTGATGAATTTCACGAGGAAGTAGAAATTTTTTCATCTTTTATATTTTCATTCTTTTTTTTTACTTTTAATGTGTACCTTACGATTAGTTTTTATGTGTGATAATTTGTATTGAAATGCAATGATGATTTTGTTTGTCTGTGGGTGCTTTTTGGATGGTGAATGCCTGATAGTTTTGAGGCCACGGCATGATACAATTGGATGTTGAAACTATTAAAAGTTGTTATTGTAGCATACTGGCGATTCTGATCCAGAAGTACGCGAAGCGTCGTATGCGGCCTTAGGTGCAGCGATGAAGGCAATCGGTGAAAAAGCGTGTCTCGTTTTGGTTTCGGATATCGCTGAAGACAAGCTGAAAATGACTAAGGTATTCTTCATTACTCTCTTTTTATTATCACGTACCTTTCCCAATAATGATTCATCTCATTCAATTGTTATTTGTTCCAACAGAATGCAGATCGAAGGTGATTCTGAGTGATGTGCAATAATCGATTTTGGCTCACGTCAGAATGAATCGTTTCAGATCAAGCATTTCTGCGAGAAAGCAATTCAGGAAGCAGGTCCTGATGTTGTTTCGGTTATGGTCCAAAGTATGCACAAGAGTAACGTAAGTTCGTTAATCGATGCTTTTTGTTTGTTTCATTTCGCGCTTTTGGCCAGGAAAATGACACCTGGATGCATCCGGTAGTGGCAGTTGGGCTTTTTGATTGCAGTGGATAGCAACAGTTTTAGAATCGTAAACTTGCTTCGAATGTGCAGTTTGTTCGGTGAACTACGGATGAAAACTGAACGATGAGTGTGATGAGTACGAATAATTTAATGGCTTCTTTATTGCGGAGGTATTCTCATTATTAAATCTAAGCCGATGGTCGTAAAGCACAACATAAAATGAAGCGATTTATGAAGTCGGCTTGTTTTCCGATCCGGTGCTTGAGTTTGTTTGGCTTCCGGTTTTGTTTTTAAAGAACACATCAATATTATCAGTTTTGCAAGCTTGTTTATCGGTGTTGTATAACTGTCGTTTGGTTCGGGTCACATGAAAGCTGGTTTTGATAGTATCTTAAGAGAATATGAATTCTCAATTACATGTAATGAATCATACAGGCGTTCGAGAGTACTTTACCGAATGATTTTCATTCTAAATAGGTAACATTCAACGCGAAAGCAGTATTTTAAAGTAGTATGTATCAGTTATTAATTATTCGCCCTACTCCTTTTGAATTCAAAACAGATTTGAAAGCAATAGTTTCGTTTTTCCATCACGTGTGATGATCGGTGAAGAATTGTGAGTGAAGTCGTGGACGGATGATTACATTTGAAAGCAATCGTTGTTGTGTTTGTTGTTGTGATAGTAGTTATCGTTGTGATCGTGTGTTCAGCAACGCTCCGATGCATCAAAGGGGAACGACAACGCCGAGAATGACGCCAAATCGGATGCGGTAAGTAGTCATATCTCACTTCAGTTTATTTCTCAAATCGTGTTCGGCAATGTCTTATGGTAATTCGTTTCCAGAGGTGTGTGCAAGGTGAATTACCGCACACATATCACTTTATGGAGTTCAGTTGTTCTAAAGGTTGATCACTTGAAACTTGATCGACGTTAAATACTGTTGATGTTGTATGGAAATGGCACTGTTAAGATCTATTTAGAATCTAATTTTAAGTTGGTCAGTATTGCACAAAATTAGTTGTAGATTTTTCATTTATCATTTTATGAAATTGATGCAGTCATATCGATCACTTACGATTAGTTCAGGTCATTTGAATGCAACGTTACCGCATAATTCACCGATTGTTTTCGTAATATTTTAAAAGTTATCCATTGAAGGCCGCTATTGTTTTGTTGCTTAGCTGTTTAGTTGTTACGGGAAAACTTTGTTATGTTCGAATTCGGTTTGATTTTCTTGTCATGGTTCGTTTAATAATATGCATATGCATGATCATTATTAGTAGGTGGTGACTGGTGAATTTGGGCATTTTTTTTAATAATGTTGACAATGTTATTTGTTGTGCCATATCGAATTCATTATCGTTGCGAATGGGTCTTGTTGACAAGAAAAACAACGACTGTTCAGTGCGGTTTCTTGTGGATAGGAAGCACACATTACTTTGATTAGTGATGAAGCACACATCACACATCTAAGATTGCTGTCGAAGATCGATTAAGCTGGATCGAGATTGCGTTCGCTTTTAAACTTCGACTAGAAATGATTTTGTAAAGAAACTGCGCATCATCGGATATATCAGGATGATGACTGACTCTTGCTTATCGGACATCGTTCACAGTAATTTTTCATTTATTTACATTCCAGCCTCTTAAACCTCCAGCCCCCGGAGTTGGTAGTAAACTGAACGGTAAACCATCCGCGAAGAAACCAACATGTGAAGAGGAAAACGAAGAGGCTGAGGAGTCGAACGCGAAAGGAAATGGTAAGGAGAGTGCGACAATTAAGGTAAATTACTGCAAATTATGACTAACGTTTTATCATTTATGGCGAGTTATTTTCTATTACACAATGGATCTTCTGAGCTTATGTCCATATATGACAAAGCGAATGGCTGCAGAGTTTAAACGCTGACAGTTCACATGAATCCAGTTGATGATTTCTGGATCAAATTATTTACGTTAATTCATTTTCTCTTACGTTACGATATCATGGCATTGTTATTATGTTACCAGCAGTATGAGTCAAAATGATCCATTTGGGTGGTTGTAACTTGAGAAAGGATGAATTCCTCAACACTGTAAAAATAGAATCAGCGAATGCTTCAGGAAGTAGAAGAGCCTCCAAAGCCGAAAGATGAAATCTTTGTGACAAACAAAGAGAAGGCTATACGTCTCCGTGATGAGAAGAACTTGAAGGTATCAAAATCGAGAATTTTTGGATAAAGTGAACTTCGAACTCTTTTTTATGAGCTTGAAATTATGTTTAATTCAGCAACGTTTTCACGTCAAAGTTTATATTTCGTTTTTGTAGGATAAATTCAACATTTCGTAGTTTCACCATAAGAACGAGACCTCAATTATCTGTAATCTTTTTTCTGAAATAATGTGAATATTTCCGCGATTCGAACAGAGTTAAGTCGATATTTCCCGTAGAACTCGTAGGGGACCGTATGAAAAAATATTCGTCGAAGTTTTTCTAAATCGGTATTTTTAAATTCAGTTATTGAAATGGAACTTTGATCAACCAAACGGTGAACATATCGAACAGCTGAAGACATTACTCGGTGGAGTTACGCAAACGAATCTCTTCGCGATGTTGTTCAGCAAAGACTTCAAAATGCATCTGAAAGCCATTGATAGTATGCAAACGGTTTGTGTTCGAAATTATGTGAATTTGATGGACATTATTTCCACTATCGTTTTAGTTCAGTCATAATATTTGACTACTCTTGTTTATGTTATGGATGGAATCTTATTGCGGTGATGTTTCTAATTTCGATGAAGTTTAACTTTAACTGTTTAGCTTGTTCTAAGATCATTCGAACGTGTTTCGTGATTTCAGGAGCTATCTCTGAATGCAGCTTCAGTCATGGCCAACTGTGATCTGATACTCAAGTGGATATCGCTGAGATTCTTTGAAACGAATCCAACCGTATTACTAAAAGTTCTCGATCTAGCATTGGCAATATTCACTCAGATTCGTGATTGTTCAGAACCATTCACCGATTCTGAATTGAACGCTTTCCTGCCTTATCTCATTTTGAAGGTGTGTCAGCCGTTCATCGTTCTCGATTTTTTTTTGGATATTAGAACTGTTTGTGGGAGGGAGCTGGTTAGTGACATTCATTATGATCGTTGCAGTCTGGTGATCCAAAAGATTCGGTTCGTACACCGGTGCGATCCATAATGCATGTGATTACGGAGATTGTCGGGCCGGCCAAGGTATTTCCACTAGTTTTGGATGGTCTCAAAACGAAAAATTCGCGTCAACGAACCGAATGCCTTCAAGTGTTGGAAGAGTTGCTGGACACGACCGGCATCGCTGCTACAACCACTCCTGGTGTATGTCATATTGAATTTTCATTTGATGAAATGAAATGAGATGATACTGTAACCATGATTAGCCGTTTAGCCGTCACTGAAGCAAATAGCAGCGTGCATTAGTGATCGCGATAATAACGTCAGAAGTGCGGCCATCAACGCGGTCGTTGTTGCGTGGAAAGAAGAAGGGGAACGTGTATTCCAGTTGATTGGTAAAATGAACGACAAAGATAAAGCGATGCTTGATGAACGCATCAAGAGGAGTGGTATTGTACCAAAGGCTAAAGGTACGAATTGCTCCAATTTTTATCTTATAGTTTGATGGTTTATATGGTAATTCTAGTACCGTTCTTTTTAAGGGAAACCGGGGCCCGAACGTGCGCCAGGCACTCCGGCTCAAAATGGACGAGGACGACCATCGATAGGCACTGGCGTCAAAGGTCAGCCAGAAAGGGATTTAAAAATACAAATGTGAATGATCACGTTAGAGAACGATCCAACCATAAGAAATTATGGGAGAAAGATTGTATGCGTATAGCTGAAAGTATTTCTTTCAGAAGTACAAGTCTAATGTTGACTTTTGGTTGATCATGTGCTGACTTTCGTTGTTTAGAGGCTAATTAGGGGCATTGTTGTGTGATAATGATAATGAAAACAATCAAAAGGTTGTTATTTCAATTAAATAATGAAGGCAAATAAGTGAATTAAGGAAGACGAATGCGAGATGGTACTGCAAGATCGTCGAGCCGCGCGGAACAGAGTGGTGCATCCAGTCGTGCGGAATCTCCTGAACCAGGCAGAAACGAATTAAACAATACATACAATGTAATCAGTCGATTATTTATCTTCTTTATTCGTCTCTTTTCATGTCTTAAAAAAAATTTTTTTTGTGAATGATTTGGCGGAAATTTAAATGTTCTCTCTCATCATTCGCACTGATGTGCAGCACTCTTTTGAGTTTACAATTGCATCTGCATATTCATGTATTTTGATAATCGGCATTATCTAAA